GTTGTTGTTCCAACCCCAGTCGTGTTCTCGTCCGTAACGGCACAACGTTAACGCGTCATCGTTGTTGTTCCAACCCCAGTCGTGTTCTCGTCCGTAACGGCACAACGTTAACGCGTCATCGTTGTTGTTCCAACCCCAGTCGTGTTCTCGTCCGTAACGGCACAACGTTAACGCGTCACCGTTGTTGTTCCAACCCCAGTCGTGTTCTCGTCCGTAACGGCACAACGTTAACGCGTCACCGTTGTTGTTCCAACCCCAGTCGTGTTCTCGTCCGTAACGGCACAATGTTAACGCGTCACCGTTGTTGTTCCAACCCCAGTCGTGTTCTCGTCCGTAACGGCACAACGTTAACGCGTCGCCGTCGTTGCTATCGCAGGTTTGACGAGGCAGGTGGCGCCGGCACAGGTGGCGCAGCGGTTCCAGCTGCGGGCGGGGACGGCCGTGCCCGTGCCCGTGCCGGGCGCCGTGCAGCCGACGACGACACCGGCGATGCACACGGAGCTGTGGAAGCAGCTGGCCCAGTCGCAGGCGAACCAGGTAGGCTGTCCCGGTCGAGTCGTACCTCCGTGTGTGTGTGTGTGGGTGTGTGGGTGCGTGTGTGCGTGTGTGTGGGTGCGTGTGTGCATGTGTGTGTGGGTGCACACGGGGGTATGCCTGCGTGCGTGCGTGCGTGCGTGCGTGCGTGCGCGTGTTTGTGGGTGTGCGTGTGTGGGTGCGCGCATGTGCGTGTGTGGGTGCGTGCGTGTGCGTGTGTGCGTGTGCAGTGTTTACGTGTCTCGCCCATACCGACGAGTCTCGATTGAAATCCCGAATTACATTCTCGACGCAGTTTACTAACTCCGTCCTTCGCTCTCGAAGATTTCGGGCGGTCGGCCGCCGCTGCCAGGAAAACCGCACCTGACCGCTGTGCAATCGCTGTCCGGCCTGAAGCAGCTGGCCACGGGCACGCCGCCGCTGTCCACCGGTGCTCCGCTGCCGCCGCCGCCGCCGCAGCTTCCACCGAACACGCCGCAGTTGCCGGGCGGGGCGCAGCCGATGTCGTCCGGAGCGCAGCCACAGCTAGTCGCCAGCCAGCCCCCGCTGCTGACGCAGCAGCAGCAGCAGCAGATCCTGAGCCAGCCGCCGCAGCAGTCCGGCTTCCAGCCGAAGATCGTGCAGCCGCCGGCGACGACACCAAAGGAGTGGCACGCGAGCGTGACACCGAACCTGCGCAGCCACTTGGTGCAGAAGCTGTAAGTGGTCTGTTTGATCGTTTGTTTGTCCCGGTTACGTCTCGGATTCGTGAGAACGGGAATTTATGATGAGCCGCGAGGATATTTGACGGTCGCATGTCAAATTTCGAATAACTACGCCTATGTCTACGCCCGGTGATCGGCGCGGTGCATCTGTGAAAACTACCCGATGGGATTTAGAATGCGAATCGTTAGTAGTTGTTAACGTGACGAGATCTCGTGATGTGTGGCGTGGATTGTTATGTTTGACTGCGCCGTAGCGTGATGCTTGTTTTCGCGTGTTTCAGTGTGCATGCCATATTTCCTGCACCTGATCCAAATGCCTACCATGACAAGAGAATGGTAAATCTAGTCAAATATGCACAAAAAGTTGAGGCTGACATGTACGAGACTGCCAAAAGTAGGGTAAGTGAATTGCTCTTCGCATTCCTCTTCGTTTTTTAGCCTGCCCCGTTCCTGGATCTTATTCCAGTTTGTGAAATTCCTAGTTTAGGTGTCTTATATAAGTAAATTGTATCTTTGAAAGAAAATGTAAATTCACAATAAATTGTAAAATAAGTAAACTGCAACCAATTTTAGAATTTGCCAAGTAGATCTCGCATTATTGAGAGCTCATTGACATGAATTTAAATAATCATAAATATATAATAATATTGTTCTATGTTATTATTTTGTCTTTTATTATTATTACTGTTATTTTTATTTTGTTATTTATTATTATTATTACTGTTTCTCCAGTTAAGTTTGTTCCTCGCACGAGTAAATACCTGTGGCAAAGGTTGCTGCGTGTTGCTTTGTGTATAATATGTATGTATGTTAATGTGTATGTTTGTCTGTGTAACCACTGACAGGAGGAGTATTATCAACTGTTGGCTGAGAAGATCTACAAGATCCAGAAGGAATTGGAGGAGAAGTGGAAGAACCGCGCGCGGGTGGGCCAGGTTCCCGGCCAGCCGCCGCCGCCGCTGCCGCCGTCCAACCCGCAGCTAGTCAGACAGACACTCACAAGTACGTACGCGTCTCTACCGAGTGGGCGCGTTGTTTTAGACGCACGTGTAGTTACGGCGATGTATTGCCGTTCGTAAACAGTGTAGATTCGAGTGTGAACGGCGCGAAAAAATCTTATCGAGGATAAAACTAGTGACCTGCTACTCGAATAAATATTAACTCGTTACTCGTGAGGTGTGCATCTTTCTTTGCCCCCCCCCGTCCATGCAAAGGGTTGCCATGGCAACCCCATGAGTGTCGTGGCCGCGATGGACAACTGAACGTGAAACGAAGTTTCTTACGAGAGTTAAGAACAAAGTTAGTCAACTGCCTTGTGTTTTTTCTTTCTCGTGCCGCGATCGACGACCGAACGCTAACGAAGTTAGTCAACTGCCTTTTGTTTTTTCTCGCGCGCGCGTGCAGACGGTCCGATCGACGGTGCGGACGCGGTGGCGCCCGGCGGCGCGGGAGCGGGCGGAGGCGGGCAGCGCATGCCGCAGCCGTCGATGAGCCCTGTCCTGCCCTACAGCATGGGCCCGTCGCAGCCGCTGATGTCCCCCGCAAGCATCGCCAGCAACCTGATGTCGCTGACCGGGGCCATGAGTCCGTCGAACAACCAGCAGGTGCGTATGTGCGTGCGCTGGGCGGGCGCGAGGGAAGCGGGGTCGTGGGGCGGGGGCGTGAGGGGCGTGCGGTTTCGCTGCAGTTTGACGTAGTGGATTTGTGTGGGTGTTTCACACGTTTGGTTTTTAGGGATGCTACAATTGTGCGTGCTGATTAGTTCTGCGCTAATTCGTGTAGCAGCAGCAGTAACAGCAGCAGTAACAGCAGCAAAATTAGTTTCAGTAACAGCAGCAACAGTAGTTTCAGTAACAGCAGTAGCAGTAGTAGTAGCAGTAGCAGCAATAGCAGCACCAAGAGTAGTAGCACCACCAGCAGTAGCAGCAGCAGCAGTAGTTGCAGTAACAGCAGCAGTAGTAGCAGCAACAGCAGCAGCAGCAGCAGTAACAGCAGCAACAGTAGTTTCACTAACAGCAGTAGCAGTAGTAGTAACAGTAGCAGCAACAGTAGGAGCAATAGCAGTAGCACCACCAGCAGTAGCAGCAGCAGCAGCAGTAGCAGCACCACCAGCAGCAGCAGTAGCAGCAGCAGCAGTAGTTGCAGTAACAGCAGCAGTAGTAGCAACAGCAGCAGCAGCAGCAGCAGCAGCAGCAGCAGCAGTAGCAGCAGTAGCAGCGGCAGCAGCAGCAGTAGTAGCAGCAGCAGCAGCAGCAGCAGCAGCAGCAGTAGTAGCAGTCAGCATAACATGTTAACTGCTTATGTTCAGGACAGCAGTGGCCCCCACCCCCCACCCTGCGCATAATGTATCCACGTTTACACGTGTATTGATTGCTCATGCGTTTTCGCAAATCGAAAGCACAAAGGACTAAAGTTGCCGTCAGGACGTTATTGTAGTGGAATCGTGCGCAATGCGATTAGATAATCACTGGCAAACATGTTAATGTAGATATATGAATATATGTAGATGTCTATTGACCATCGCAAAAGAATTGCCCACTGTGAACAAAACAGTCGCACTAGATTGATCCTTTCACGTTGACATTCGTGGGTTTTGTCTGTTTGTCGAGTCATCACCGACCGGCCATATGCGCACGCTGGCATACAATTTGATTTTTAATGTCTGGTGGCTGACAGCAAGTTACTAACATTGCAGTGTAACCATTGGGAGTGTGTGTACGATGTGTGTATGTGAACGGTGTGTGATCGGTGTGTGGAGCGTGAACGGTTTCTGATCAGTGTGTGCATGGACTTTCAGGTTAATTCGCAGATGCCGGGAGTCGTGACCAACCTACCGCCAACCAGTATAGGACAGCTTCAGCAGTCACAGTTGCAAACCAGACTTCAGGTATGTAGAGCGCGCATGCGCATGCACGCACATACATGCGTGATTCGTCACATTTTCTGCAGTCAAGTGACGATTTTGCGTGTTTGTTCGTACGTCTGGGCCTTGTTAAATCATCCGTGCCCGCTGCTTGTTAGCCGTGCGCGCAGCGACCTTGCACCATATTGATTTGTAGGCAACGAGCGTGTTTGTACTTGTGCGCGCACATATGCTGGTTATTGGTCTCCATTTTTATTTCCTGAAATTCATGCTGCTGAAATGCAGTGAATTTGCAGTTGCCACCGCCAGCTGCATTTATCATTGGCAATATTTTGGAACGAATCTAGCTACAGTCAGAAATTAAAGCTCAATGCTTGAATTACATATCAAATACGATATCTTTTTTGAACTTTTACTGTCAGACACCCTGATTGAAGGCGGGTGTCCATATAGTGGGATTTCCTGTGACTTTGGCTATACATGATAATAAATTTAAAAAATTCAATATTGCTTTGAGTGTTTAACAATTATGTTTGGTACTGGTAGTAGTGTGCAGCAGATAGTTTGATAATTTATTTATTATTCTATAATTTATTTTATCATTATTTTTAAGCCATTCCTATAGTCAGTTTTGTTCATCATTGTTAGCTTTAGTTTTGAACTAGTTCTGAACGGAGTGTATGTTCCCACTTTTTGAGTGCAGGGTCTGTCTTTTTTTGTTGGACGTCCTTTATCAAAAGTTACTTCCCACCCCCTTTTTAACTCCCTGCTTCTTAACCATGTGTTTTTAATGTCTGCGGCAAATAGTCGGTCAGCTGAATTGCAGGGGAATTTGCAGTATTGATGTATTCAGAACATTTGATCAATTGTACTCTTGACAGTTTTGCTATACTCGTTGTTAAGGTATAAGTATCATAATAAGTCATTCAACAGACTGCAAATTTCGTGTGAATGTTGAATTTCACATTTGCAACTCGTTTTATTTTTTAGTAAAACGAAAACCCCGAACAGTTTATTGGTCGGTATATACTCATCACGCCGTAAATCATCAGGTTTAATTGCTAACACAAATGCTAACTGTAGCCAAAAAAAAACCAGGTTGATAGCTAATGAACACTCTCTTTGCGGCACTGTGCTTACGAGCAGATTGTGCAACTAAAATGTTTTGATGCACGTTAAACATTGCACGTTAAACATTTATGCCGTCGACTTGTGGCAGCGGAGGTTGGGGGTGGGGTTGTGAAGGCAACCTGAGTGGACCATGCAGAATAGTCTAGGGGCCTTTCCCTCGAGTACTCTGATTCGCACGTGTGTGCCATTGGTTGTCACTCGCAGCACTGGCCATTCTCTCTCCATTCTCTCTCACGCTGATAGTTTTGAGACAAAGCAGAGGCAACACTGGCAGCTAACCACCATTCTCTCTCACGCTCATAGCTCGTGACAAAGCAGAGGCAACACTGGCAGCTAACCACCATTCTCTCTCACGCTGATAGCTCGTGACAAAGCAGAGGCAACACTGGCAGCTAACCACCATTCTCTCTCACGCTCATAGCTCGTGACAAAGCAGAGTCAACACTGGCAGCTAACCACCATTCTCTCTCACGCTCATAGCTCGTGACAAAGCAGAGTCAACACTGGCAGCTAACCACCATTCTCTCTCACGCTCATAGCTCGTGACAAATCGTGAACACCAAGCTGAGTCACAACACTGGGCAGCTAACCGCTATTCTCATCTCACAGCTCAGGTAAGCTTGTGACAAAGCAAGTCACACTTAACAGTTGCCCGGGCGGAGTCGTGGCGGCGGCAGCTAACCCACCATTTCTCTACAACGCTCCGCAATGAGCTCGTGACAAAGCAGAGAGGCACACACTGGCAGCTAACCACCCATTCTCTGCTCAACGCTGATACTCTGTGAAAAGGGGCAGAAGGTCAACATAGCAGCTAACCGGCTAGTTTCTCTTCTCAAGGCTCATAGCTCGTGGACAAGCAGAGTCAAACACGGCAGCTAACCGACTATTGTCTCATCTCAGCATCAATAGCTCGTGACAAAGCCTGAGTCAACCACTGGCGTAGCTAACCACCCTTCTGCGTCTCACGCTTCATAGCTGCGTGACCAAAGCAGAGGACAACACTGGCAGCTAACCACCAATTCTCTCTCACCGCTGGACTGATAGCTCGTGGACCAAAGCAGAGGCATACACTGGCCAAGCTATACAAGATTCTCTCTCACCCGCTCAATAGCTACGTGACAAAGGCAGGGCAACACTGCAGCTAACCACCATTCTCTCTCACGACAGCTCGTAGCTCGTGAGAAAGGGCAGGAGTCAACACTGGCAGCTAACCGGCTATTACTCTCTCAGCGCGTCATCAGCTCCGTGACCAAAGCAGAGGCAACACTGGGCAGCTAACACCAATCCTCTCAGCGCTCATAGCTCGTGACAAACAGAAGGCAACACTGGCAGCTAAACCGCACGCTATTCTCGTCTCACACTCATAGACTCGTGACCAAAGCAAGGAGTCAACACTCGGGCAGCTAACAAACATTCCTCTCTACACGACATACATAGGGCTTCGTGACAAAGCAGAGGCCAACAACGGCAGCTAACGACCACGCATTCTCTCGTCACCGGCTCATAGCTCGTGAGCAAAGCAGAGTCAACACTGAGGCAGCTAACCCACCATTCCTGCTCATCACGCTACATAAGCTCGTGACAAAGCAAGGCAAAACATGGCAGCTAAACCGACCATCCTCTCTCACCGCTCATGAGGCTCGGACATAAACGGGGAAAGGGTCAACACTGGCGCTAACGCAGCATTCTATCTCACCGGCTGATACGCTCGTGACAAGGCGAAGCAGAGGCAACCGAGCTGGCCAAGGCATCAACCAGGCCATTCTCTCCTACCGACAAGCTATCAAAGTTCAGTGATCAAAGCACGAGCAATCACTCGCAGCTAAACCACCATTCTCATCTCAGCGCTCATAAGTTTGCAACAGACAAAAAAAAAAAAACAAAAGAAAGGTAACGCGCGGCACTAGGAACTAATTAACCACCGTTCTCTCTCTTGTCCCGACAGTTTGACAAGGTGGAGGCAGCAGTACAGCTGCAGCAGCAGTTGGCAGCAGCAGGGCAAGGCAAGTTACAGTGCAAACGTGTCCGCTGTGCCCAACGCACAGGCCGCAAGGCGTGCAATGGCCGGCGCGACCGTGGGCCGTTCCTGTATCCACCAGCGCACTTCTCCCCCAGAAGGTGTAAGTCGTAGCCCTGCCGTAGACACTACACTCGCACGCCATAAACGCATTACGCGTTGGCGCGGCGGGCGCGTCGTAGGCTCATGGGCGCGTTAGCAGAAGCAGCCACAATGCGCTCGGCGCGAGTGGTGCTTGCGAGAGTTCTATGTCGATGCACTGATGCGAATTGTGACGTTCTAAAACGAACGCCAGTGGTACGTACAGTCGGCTATAAAGGCTTAAACGGCGATAGCTTGACAGATAGGCTGACGGATAGCTGCAAACAGATAGCTTGACCGACAGCTTGACAGAATAGCTTCGACCGATAGCTTGATCAGATAGCTTGACCGAATTAGCTTGACAGATAGCTTGACAGATAGCTGCACAGTAGGTTGACCGATAGCTTGACAGAGTAGCTTGACATACATAGCTTTGACAGATAGCTTGACCGATAGGCTGAGCAGATAGCTTACAGATAGGTTGACCGGATTAGCTTGACAGATACGCTTGAGCACGATAGCTTGACAGGAATAACGCTTGGATCCGATAGCTATGGACAAGATAGCCTTGACTAGATTGGGTTTTGAACAGATAGGGTTACGATAGCCCGGGGAGCTAGCTATGAGCAGGGGATAGGCTTTTGGGAGCAGAATAGCTTGGACAGATAGGCTTGGACGGCGATAGCTTGACAGATATTCTTTGAACAGATAAGGCTTGACAGAAATACGCTGGCGGAGACGTGACGACGGAAGTAGGCTTGGGACAGTGAATAGCTTGACCGATGCAGTTTGAACAGACAGATAGCTTTCGAACCGAGCAAGCTTGACCGAGCAGCTTGACAGAACCATCAGCTTGACTGATAGCTTGACAGATAGCTTGACAGATAGCTTCGACAGATAGCATATGAAGCAGATAAGGCTCTTGACCGAGATAGTTGACAGATAGCTTTGAGCCGACAGGCTGTTGACGGGACAGCTTGGACAGGCAGTGCGCGAAGCAGCTTGACCAGATAAGCTTGACAAGAGGTAGCAGGTAGCTTGACAGAAGTAAGCTTCGTAGACAGATAAGTCTTTGACTCCGAGGATAGCAGGCCGATATGTGTTCGTGGATGCAGCGAGAATCGAGCTTTGACAGACGGATCGGCGACACTACTGCCTGATCAGCCGGGTGTGACCGGACATGAGGACGCAGCGTTTGACGAAGAACGAGCTTGACAGCAGGTGATCAAGCTCCCGCGGTGGCTTGACCGCGGACGCGTTGACCGAGATAGCATATGCAGATAGAGTCGGCTTGAAGATAGGACCTTGACAGGGATAAGCGATTGAAGCCGAGTCCGGCGAGCGCTTGACCCGCGGATGCGCAGCTATGTGAACAGACAGGCGTTGATCTGGGAAATAGCGTCTGAAGATGCTTGAACCCGAGAGTAGCTTGACAAGACCCTTAAAGCATCAGTGAGCGAAAACGGCAATGCATAGTCACCGTGTGTCGAGACAGACGTGGCAGGGAAGACGGATTCGGGAGGTTCTAAAGTGGGAATGATGCTAGTGGCAGGGGCTTCTTAACGCTGGTGGTGCCAAAGAGGTCTGTGGATGGGATTGCAAAGGGCGGTCCGTGGAAACCAGGCGGCATGCAAAATTGTGTATGTTTTGCGCGCTGCTTATGTGCATTTTTCTGGGAGGGAGGTCCTGTAAGCTTCCATCCTAGATTCTAATAGTGGGTTGCACATGATCAACAAAAGGTTTGAAGAACCACTGATACGCTCGTGCGAGAGCGGCGGACGCGTTACGCGGTCCAACGTGGACGAGCGGCGCCTTACACCTCCGCCCGCGCATCGTTTGGTTTTTTTTTCTCGTCGTCCTCCTCCGTCGCCTCCCGAGCTCTGGCCGCATTTCACGCCCTGGTGGTCTTGATCATCTCTGTTTTCAAGCGCAGCGGGGCAAGGAGGGGCCGGTGCCAGGCGAGCCCGGGGCCGTCTGCGGCGTCAGGGCAGGCCGCCGTCGGGCAAAGGACGGCGGGGGGCGGCGGCATGGACGGCGATGCAAGACCGGAGAGCCAGGCGCCGCGGTCGTATCAAAGCAGGAGTGCGTTGACGGCCCGCCGTACGAGAAGGGCAAAAGGAGGAGAGGAGGAAGAGGAGCCGGAGGGAAGGAGGGGCCATGGATAAAGCGCGCAGCGCCGCCGTTTGGCCAGCTCGGCGGCCGGCCGGGGAAGAGGGAAAGGCGGAGATGATCGTGCTCCGGGCGAATGCAGACGGCGGGAGTCGTGGTGAAGTGGAAGGCGAGCCGGTCGTACGAATTTCAAGCAGGGAGGCGCGCTTGCCGCGGGGCGTCCGGCGTCGTCCAATGGGGAGGCGGCGGTAAGGCGACGGTGGCCGGAGGAGCATAGCGAAACAAGCAGGGCGCAGGCTCTGTCGGCGGAAGGTAGGGGAAGAGACGCCGTCAGTGCTAAAGACGGGAGGCGGCGAAGACAGGAAGGGTCAGTTCGAAGCGGCCGCACGGCGCTCATAATGGCCGAAGGGGCCAAAACACGACGGGCCAAAGGTAGGGGCGACGCGAACCCTTGTAATGGCAGCGTGTTATAGACCGGCGGCGTGGACCGCTTGTAGGTGCCAGGTCATAG